ACCCTGGCTATTCCCTGCCTCCATGTAGTGTATCGTCCACAGGGGGAGGGAGGCATTAATCAAACCACCAGGAGCATGTCTTCACAGTCATGATGGATGTTCCTTGGTCATGCGCCTGTATCTGGCCCGGACTCAGAGAAGGATTCCTGGGAAGATGAAGGCTGGATCAGGGTATAAGGAATGGACAGAGTTCATTGGGTTGGGCAACAAGGAACATTCCAAACAAAGGGAACAACAGGCCTGTGGCCAAGAGCACAAGGTCCGAGTGAGGAAAGAGGCTGAGGCACAGGTGCTGGGCACGAGGCAGGACTAGCTGGGAGGGCTCTCAAGCCTGGGGATGATTTGGGTCCTTCTTCTGAGAATAATTAGACACAATTGGCTGGTCTGGGAAGTGGGCGTGAGCAGGTGCAGGACAGGTGACATTCTGCACACAGAGCTGGGTTTGACTCCAGCCCGCCCACACCCTTTGAGGTACCACGCTGTGCTAGTTACGTAACCCAGAACCGCCCTCAGGGCCTCAGCTTCCTGAAGAGCCGGCGGAAGAGCATGTGATGCTCCATGGGCCTGGCTCCCGGAGAGACACTCAGGAAGCTCGAACTCCTGCCTTCGTGGAGGGCCTGGGACGTGGGCTGGACGCCTCTGATGAGTCCCAGCAGAGTGAGGGCACGTGACCTGGAGGCGCAGTAGCCATATTTCAGGGATGCAATAAAGACCTTCCCTTGGGGGGAGGCGGGGATTGTGTATGTGGATTCATGAGCCAGAGAGCGAGGCTTCTGACATTTGGGGACAAAGGGAACAGAGTGGGCCTGAGCAAGGGTGTGCCGAAGGGACTGTATTCCATGAGCGACTGGAAGGCAGCCCTCGAGGCTGAGCAGGTGGTTGGCCCAAAACACCCTCTTCTTGGGTGAGGATTGACGACAAAAAGAGACGGCCTCAGACACTGCACTTTCCCCTCACCCAGTCTGTCCTCTGCACCCCCTTGCTGCCGGCATGCCGCAGCTTTCCAGATTGTTCTAACTTCAGAGAACACATGCAAACCTCCTGCCTCTGAAGGGCTAGGGGACCCGCATCTTTCATCAAAGCTCCTCCATCGAAGTGTGGCAGGTTCCGGTGCCCGGGAGATGGAGTGATGCTGGATGTTGCAATGTCTTCTCTGAAGTTAGAATAATCTGGAAAGCTGTGGCATGCCGGCAGCAAGGGGGTGCAGAGGACAGACTGGGTGATGGGAGAAAGTGCAGTATCTGAGGCAGTCTCTTTCTGTCGTTAAGCCTCACTTGAGGCTAGGATATTTTTCCCATTGATTTTTAGAGAGAGAGGAAGGGAAGGGGAGAGAGAGAGAGAGAGCGAACCATGAATGTAGGAGATACATCGATTGGTTGCCTTCTGTATGTGCCCTGATTGGGCTGGGGATCGAGCCAGGGATCAAGCCTGCAATCAAGCATACCTGGGAGGTATGCGCCCTTGACTGGAATTGAACCCGGGAACCTTCAGTCCGCGGGCCAACGTTCTATCCACTGAGCCAAACCAGCGAGGGCTTGAGGCCATTTTTTTTAAATGCAATTAAAAAAAAAAAAAATATATATATATATATATATATATATATATATATATATATATATATAATTGCTTTTTTTACAGAGAGGAAAGGAGAGGGATTGAGAGTTAGAAACATCCATGAGAGAGAAACATTTATCAGCTGCCTCCTGCACACCTCCTACTGGGGATGTGCCTGCAACTAAGGTACATGCCTGTGATAGAAATTGAACCCTGGACCTTTCAGTCCAGAGACCAACACTCTATCCACTGAGCCAAACCAGCGAGGGCTTGAGGCCATTTCTTGATGCAGCCACCCACCAGCCTCTGGTCACCCGGGTCGGGGTCTGGCGTGCAGTCAGTGACACAAGGCATATTTAGCACAGGTGTGCAGGCTTATTCTCCACCTTTAGAGGAAATAAGCCTTTTACCATTCACAGCTGGCTAGATTACGGCACAGAAATGCAGGGTTTGGGCCTCTGTCTTTGGAGGGAGCTGGATAATTCGTGCGAAGCCTCCCATTGTGGCCTGGGAAGAGACAAGGACCGAGGGCTTCTCCTGAGGGTTTCTTCAGCGCGTCCGTGGGTTCCGAGTGAGGCTGTGGGGCTCAGTGGAGAGAAGCCTAGACTGTGTGAGCCTAGAAAGTCCCAGGCTCTGCAGCCTCCTAAGCTGCAATGAAGAACAATGAAGTGTCAGCAGCCTGCATGTCAGGGCGCGGGGAGGAAACGCTACACTGCTTTTAGAAGTTTTATGCTATTATTCCCATCACTCTTGTTTGCAGTTCTAAGCATGTGTAACTTCTCATAATGTATTTTATACTTATGTATGTGGTTGATTAATATCTGCTTGCCCCCCCCTGACCTTAATGCTGTGAGTCTTATTCTATTTTATTCAGCACCCAACACAGTGCTTGACACAATTGCTTCTCCATAGTTGTTTGTTGAATAGAAAAAAATCCTCATTTTGGCAAATTTTTTGTAGTTCACACTCAACGCCAGAAGGGGGCAATGCAAACAAAAGGCTGAGGGTTTCCAGTGTTATAAGCCCATGGAAGCGAAGAATTACATAAGGCAACAAATTCTCCGCCACACCACATTCTCATGCTTCATCGCGTGTGGGGTTGGGTTTATTTCCTCCGCTCACGCTCCGTGAAGAGAAAAACAATGTGCAGAAGAGATCACACCGTCTGCATTTGCCTCTGCCTCTGTCACGTACAGACAGGAACCTGCCAGTGCCGTGACCTTGAAGCTGTTTCCTCGGCCACAGGCATGCTAGGAGGACTCAGTGAAATCACACACATTCGGAGTTTTAGAACCAAACCCGCTCCAGCCACGGAAGCTTTCCAAGCAGCGATGAGGCTGAGGAAAACCTTTCCCTGCTCTCCGCCTCCTCGGCTCTGTGTTCTCATCCTCAGGGCGGTGCTGCAGATGGACACAGTGGGGAGAGCACTGGGCCTTTCTGAGTCCCCATTGCCTTCTCCACGCACTGCAGCCGGACAGGAATGTGTGAGCGCTAATGGCACAGCACAGATCGGAGCAGTCAGTGCAGAGCCCGGGGCCCGGGGCCGTCTGCATCCATGTGCACATGAAACACTGTCAGAACCTCCAGCTCTCCCAGCACACGTGTAACGTCCCAAGGTTCAACCCCACTGACCTCAGTGCTCTGAGGTTGTTGTGAGGGGTAAAAACAAAACACAAAACTCACATGTTTGGTGCCAGAAGTGTGAGTACACAACGGTTCAGAGAACATAAGGATCCAATTGACCTATTTAGACATTTTCAAGTTCAAATTGCTTGGTTCAAAACTCAGCACTTGGCCACCTACCCTCAAGAGCCCAAGCTCTGGAGAGGCATGGGGGAAGAGGGTGCCGAGGGAAAGAAGGTGACCTTTTCCTCCTTAGCACCCCTCTTAGAACCACCGAAGCTTTAGGAAGACTGACTACTTATGGTTCTAGCTCTTACCAGATAACATGACTCTTGTCAATTTCTCGTTGGGTTCCCTCATTCATTGCAAGGTCCGGATCTCTGTAATCCCAGCACCGAAGACAGGCCTGGCAAGAGAAAGGGCGCAATGGATTTTGATGAAAAATGCAAAATGAAGGACAATGCTGAAATGCTGAGGGAAGGGGGGAACATAGGAGAAAGCTGTCCTTCACAGCCCTAGATGGGGGAAATGGCTGTCCAATGTTTGTTTTCTGAGATTAATAAAATGATTGTCGATGTTTTGTGCCACTAAGTTTTGGGGTGAGGTGGTACAGCAGTAGTAACAGAATGGATCTTGGTGTCTGGACGTGGCTGCTACTGAAATTCAAGCCTAAGCCAGCTCCCCGTCCCCCAGCAAGGCTGGTCCCTTCTCTGGGCCTCAGGTAAGGGGTCCTGATGTGGAAAAGCATCTTTCATCTCCGGAGGGAAATGCTCTGCCTCCCATTGTGCTTCTAGGTGTAGGAAGAGTGGGCAGCGGGTCCCAGGTCAGGATGGACAGAGAGAAACCGAGGTTCCCAAAGGGAGACAGCCCGGGTGGGCACAAAGCCAGTCCCCTGTCCCGCTAGCAGGTGGTAGCACTTGCAGAACATATCCTCAAGAACATGCTTTGTGTTGGCTGGGTTTATTCATCCAGAAATACATACATACCTTTTCTGTTTTTAAATAGAACGGGTTATTTGGGGGTGGGGGGATGGAAAGAGGAGAGTTGGAGGTTCATTTGCCTCTTTTCTCCCCTCCACCCGGACAATGTCCTTCAGCTTTGCCGGGCCAGACAGAGGGTCGGGTGTCAGGTCCCCTGCCCTTTGTGAGGGCGGAGACTCACGTCCAGGCTGAGGCTTCTGCCCACCTGGCCGCTCCGGGTCTGTGCTTCCTTCTCTTAGTGCCCATCCTCTCCCGCGGCACCCTGGCCAACAGGTGGCTCTGAGAACTGAGAACTACCTCCTTCTGTCTCTCAAAAGCAAGCCCAGGCATGCTGTGTCTTTAATGGCTTTCACATGTCTGTTCTACCAAAGAGGAGTCCCTGTAAAAGGTGGCGGGACCCTGGGCCTCAGCAGAGGACAGCTGGGGAGGGAGCCAGCGGCGGAGAGAGCAGGTCTGGGCAACCTGGCTGGGCTCAGGGGCAGGGACCAGGTGTTCTCACGGAGGGGAAAGTGGACATCTGTACAGAACCCCCCCTTCCCCCCCTGTGTGGGAAGAGGCTGCTACTGCCCAGTTCTTGTCCTTGTGGGAGTGACCAGAGAGGCCACAGCTCAGGGTGCTAGCTCCCCCCATTCAGGCCCCGCCAGCCTGGCCCAGGGAGACAGCGAGGTGCTGTGAGGGAGGTCACTGCAGACAGCCCTCCCTGTGCCAGCGCCCTTGGCCTTGAGCTGGGGGCCAGGCTGAGACCACCGTGTGCGCGGCCTGTCTGTCTGGAGGGGCTCAGCCTCCGCTGGAAGAGCTGGATCTCCCCCTGCAGCCCCCTGACCGTGTCTGTCCGCTCTGCAGTTCTTCCCATACGGGGACGCCTCCAAGTTCGCCCAGCACGCCTTCCGCACCTTCGACAAGAACGGCGACGGCACCATCGACTTCCGGGAGTTCATCTGCGCGCTGTCCATCACGTCCCGGGGCAGCTTCGAACAGAAGCTCAACTGGGCCTTCAACATGTACGACCTGGACGGCGATGGCAAGATCACGCGCGTGGAGATGCTGGAGATCATCGAGGTGAGCGGCCCTCGGGCGGCCCGGGCTGCGGGCACAGGGCAGAGCCCGAGCCTCTGCCCGGCTTCCTTGGGCATAGGTCTACCGAGGCCCCTTCTCCCCGGGCACTGATAGTGACATCCAGGCTGGATTCTCCTACCCCATGCCCCCTCCAGCGCAGGGTGGGGAAAGCCCAGACCCCAGCAGCTGGCACTGCCACTGAGGTGGCATTAACCAGCCCGCACACTCTGCGCTTACACAACAGGAGCCTATGGGCACAGAGGATGAGGATGTTACCAGGACCCTTTCCCTGCTGGCCAGGCTCAGCTCTGCTCTGCTGGACTCGCCCTCTTCCCCAACCAGCCTCCCCGTGGGCAGAAGATGCCACCCGGCTCCTCCAATGGGCATTGCAAAGACTTGATTGAGTCATAATTTATGGACCATAATTTCTCCCATTTTAATGGCACATTTAAGTGGGTTTTAGTAAACGTAGCAAACTGCACAGCCATCGCCTTAATCCAATTTCACATGGTCATCCTCCCCCTCGCCATGAGTAAGGTCTCTGTCCTCCTGTTGCCACTTCCCGGCTCAGTAAAATACTGTCCTTCTGCACATGTCACGTCACTGAAGCGAACACTGTAAGCACGTGGCCCTCTGGCTGTGGCTTCCTTTTTATCTGTTGTAGGATGTATCACATTCATTTTTAATGCTAAAATAGTATTCAGTTATATAAAATGTCACGTGTTCATCTGTTTACCAATTGCTTCCACTTTTTGGCTACAACCTGCAAGTCTTTGGGTACTGGTAGATGGGCATTTATTTCTTTAAGACATTTTTCTGAGAAAAACATTGTTTCTAGTGAGGAAACTGCCCCCTTGAGAACTGTGTGTGACGAATGGAACAATTGGAGTCTGGTTGCTCTAACTTTAACTTATAGTCCCCAGTCTGCAGTTCTCATACTGACTTCTCTCAGGACTAACTGGTCGTGGTCCACGTTGTGTGATTGTCTTAAGCGACTGCAAGTTCCTTATCAGTTGGAATCACATTTCATGTTTTCCCATTTCACCTACACTTCAAACTCTGTGTTTAAAACAGAAGCCATCATCTTCCTCCCTGACCGACCCCAACCCATGGCTCTTGAGCTCACCACTGAGCTGCTCTTCCTCCCCATTTCCTCAGCCAGAAACCTCTTCTCCCCAAGTGGTCCTGAGACTCACATCTGAGTACTTCACTCTGGCATTTAAAGCACTTAGAGGCCTTTGGGATAAACTGGAGTGGCTGATCCTATCATGGAACCTTCTGGTCTGCTTCTTGTTTTCGGCAGGCTATCTACAAAATGGTGGGCACTGTGATCATGATGAAGATGAATGAGGACGGCCTTACTCCTGAGCAGCGGGTAGACAAGATTTTCAGCAAGATGGATAAGAACAAAGACGACCAGATCACACTGGATGAATTCAAAGAAGCTGCCAAGAGCGACCCTTCCATTGTCCTACTTCTGCAGTGCGACATTCAGAAATGAGCTGAGGTCAGCGCTATGGACTGCATTTGTTTCAATGTTCCATTCAATCTGCAGCTATCTCTCTCTCTTACACACACACACACACACACACACACACACACACACACACACACACATTGCTTGGACTACCTATACATGGACTTGCTTCTTGTGTTTGAAACACTCGTGTGCATGAGAATGTCATTTGCTAATGAATTTTAAAAAGCGTATATTATAAAACACCTGCCACGATGTGATATGTGTAATGTTTCACAACCAGCCCCTTCTCCAAAGCCTGGCACGAAATGTGCAGCAAAGAGTCTTCTCATTCATGTCTTGCTAATGCTTGTCTCCTTGATTACATGTCAGTAGCACTGAGAATCCCCTCACCGCCTCCCTATTGTAATGTAACTTAATTATAAGCCGCGTCACCATTTTCCTGTAAAATAGTACTCGACAGACACACACAGGGGTTCTTGATTCTTCCATGTGGTCCACACACAAGAGCTTGTCTTACCGGTGAATAGAAATGTACTACATTTGCATGCCTTTTAGGGTTGCCTTCACTCTGACCTCATTTGCATCCTACCAACCTGGAAAAAGCTGTTTTGGAATTAATGCAGTATAAAACTTAAAAACCCTGATAAATAACTCATCAAGTATAGCTATCTATAAATATATATACACACAAAGATATTATTTATTGAAAGTGACAAAAAGTGTATTGATTTCTGCTTGAGTTTTCAAAGGCTTCCGAAGAGGTGGCGACAGAAGTCTCAAATAAATTTATAACATTTGACTTTTTCCCCCCCGAGTTCTTATTTCATGATTTTAGATGCGAAACAGATGTTCATAATTATCAAGGGTCAGCTAGCTACTCCTTACCAAATCTAATCCTTCATCAGACACCTCTGGAAGTGGAGGAATCAATGACAACAGAAGGGGAAAAGCAACTTTCCATCTTCATTCTGGCCCTCAGAAGAGGGACAATTTCATCGGGCACGTAAATTGACAGAAAACACAACTCTTCATCCTTAAAAAATGCTCACGATATGAAAATAAAATGTCTCAGTGTGACTCTGGTGCTAACACGTTATGTCCCACACAAGCTGGGAGGGCACATTCAGAAAGCGGGGCAGTGTCCTCGGGAAGAGGTCTTTCCAAACTGGAAGTACGCTGCCTGTTCTTTATCAGGATGGACCACCACCCTTACCTTCGTAGCCCCAGAAGAGAACGCAGAAAAGATTCCATCAAGAGCTCTAATGACATGCCTGGCTGGTGTGGCTCAGTGGTTGAACATCAACCTATCAACCAAGAGGCTGCAGGTTGGATTCCAGATCAGGGCACATGCTGGGGTTGTGGGCTCGATTCCCAGTAGAGGGTGTGCAGGAAGCAGATAATCGATGTGTCTCATCAATGTTTCTCTTTCAAATCAATACTTAAAATTAAAAACAAAGGACTTCAAAGGCAGGTTTGCATTATCAGAACACGTCCAGACCAGTTCAGTTCCTTCCTACAGTGCCGTACAACAGAGCTTCTTGGTGGCGGGAACATACATGTCCCCACCAGCTAGCTACATGTGGCCAGTGTGACTGAGGAACTATTTTCCATTTTAATTATTTAACATTAATTTGCCACATGTAGGCAGTATATTAATTTGCCACATGTAGCACAGTGCAGTGCTAACTTATTCATTTCTTATTGAGTGCTTTTAGCTAAACGCTCTTTTTCTTTGCCTTAGGATATAAGTGCTAACAGAATATCCCGGTGTCCTTAACCCCTGAGCTAGGCGTGTCCAAAGTGGGGGCAGGGAGAGATGGGAAAGGCTCAGTGAGTGCCTCCCATGCTCCCTTCCCAGAGTGAGGGTAGGTGGGGCGAGGAGCTGGGAAGGCTCCTTGGAAGGTCAATTGGTTAAGTCAGGCTCTGGGCCATGCCTTCATAGCAAGCTTCATGGATCTACCATGTGTCCGACACTATGACAGACGACAACACACACACACCACGTGTGCCCACCTGCAATGGTGAGTCATGAAGCAGCAGCAGAAGGAAGTGGGCCCTGGGGATATTCGGGACACTCACAGAAAACAGATTCTCCAGCAGACTGAGTGGTTCTTTTCAGTAATAAAAAGTAGACACAAACGATGAGCATGTAATATTCTGGAAAAGCAGGACTAAATATAATCAGGGAATCAAAACATTTATTTTCATTCTTACAAATTTCATTCTATAGAAATGAACCCAAATGAAACAGATATGTACATGTACATATGTACAAAATTTTACTTCTGAAAAAGAATCTAGAAAAGTAGATGGTTAAAAATAAAACAAAATGAAACAAATAAACAAATAAACATAAAAGGGTTTAAATCCAGTACTGTGGAACTGATTTTCTCCAAGTAAAGTAAGAGTAATTTTAAATTGCTGGTTGTGACTGATTTTCTAGGTTATTTACATATTTTATTGTGGTCATCTATACAAAGGATTCTCTTTTATTTCAGAATATCTGCAGTTCCACTTTATTACATCAAATAGTCCTGAATTCTTTTCCCTTTACAGAGCTTCCATCACAAGACAATCAGCTTCCGTTTTCTTCTTCCTCCTGACCCACGGGTCGGAAAGGCAGTATCGTCTGCCCTCTTTCAGGATCAGACATTCGAAGAATTCTAATCAGTTTGCTTGATGGAAGTGAGCTAGAGGAAGCAAAACTAATTATTAACAGTTCTAAGAACGTTTCCACATTACTAGAAAATTCTCCTTCTCCTGAAACTATAAATCTAAATGGCTGTTATCTGTTAACATATATTCACAGCAGGGGGGAGTATGGCTACTCTCTGAAGTTCCAGAAGAAATATGATTTGCAATAAGAAAATAATTTGGTTTCATTTAAAAAATTAACTTCCTGCTAAACGTTTTCAGTTTGGCAGAAAACGAGGGAGATTTATATATCAACTATTCCTTACTCTCGTTCATGTCTAGCTGGAAAGGGGTTACCTGATATTTCCAGTAACAAATTTAAACCCCCACTAAAGTGACACTTTAGAGAGAATACGGGCTCTAAGCCTAGTCCCCAGCAGGCACCCCGCAGAGGCTGACCACGCTCCCTGTTGGGAGGATGTAACTGACCGGGGAAAGAGCCAAGCACAGGGAATCACACTTGATCCTTTAGTGTAAATGGAATGACTACAAACACTTTCCACTAGTTGGTCATAATAAACACAGAGGAGCAGATTCAAATAAAACAGTAATCAGTAAAAAATCACATTCAGATCAACTTGCTTCTGTTATGGAAGGGAGATGATACAAACAAGATTTTAAATATCTATAAAGAAAAAATTATCTTAAATCTCCAGACCTGGTGTAGATGCTAATTTTTCCTTTTAATGGTCACTTAAGCATTTGCACTTTAAAAATTGAGATTATAAACCTAGCTAGTTTGCTCAGTGGATAGAGCGTCAGCCTGTGGATTGAAGGGTCCTGGGTTTGATTCCAGCCAGGGACACATGCCTGAGTTGCGGGCTCCATCCCCAGTAGGGGGCATGCAGGAGGCAGCGGGTCAATGATTCTCATCATTGATGTTTCTATTTCTCTCTCCCTCTCCCTTCCTCTCTGAAATCAATAAAAATACATATAAAAAAATTTGAGATTATAAAAGACTTGTCCCCATTTTATACACTTGACACAATATTCCCAGCAGACTTAAGTTACCTCATGCTCTGAGGGGTGAGCAGGATGAATTGTCTGAAGCGCTGGGAATCTGCCATCTTGAGTATCATGTCCATTGCAATCCTCCGGTTCACCATGTCCTGAGAACAAGAAGAAGTCAGGGCGGTGGCATGTCAATCAAGTTCCGGGGAACACAGTCATCTGCTGGCTGCTGCAAACCTCTGGATCCTCCATTCCCTTCTCTCTGATGCCGTGCTTAGGGAAGGTAATGTCCAAACTCTCAGGGAAACAACTGGGTACATCTCTCTCCCAGGGAGTTACTGCGCAGATGTGTTTATGAGCATCCCAAGGACACCACGCGCTGCTCCAGAATGAGGCTAATTTGCTACGTAGGAGCACAGTATCAGAAGGGACCAGTGCAAACGTATCACGTCTCTCACATTTCCCCTCAGTGATTGAGGTGCTTTAAACACTTCCTGCCCCTGCATCTTCTACCATTTGTGCAATGTGAACCAAGATGAATTCACAGGCCAATTTCCCAATTAAATCTTTAAAATACACAGCGTGTCGGTGTACAGAAAAAGAAGTTGGGTTATAATTTGAAATGAAATGAACTAAACTGTGCTTACATTTTTGAGTTAAATAACAGGAAAGAAAAACAATCAAAGCAGCCCTCCCACCCCTGGAGCTCCCGCGCGCTGAGAGCCGGGGCGGAAGGAGGATGGCTTTGACAGGACTCCCGGGAACCACAGGTGCGTGCTGCCTGCCGGCTCAGACACGGGCCTTGCAGGCAGACAGGGGACCCGCATCCCACCTACACTGCTCACTGGCTCGTAGGATACAAACTCTTCCACCAGGAATATTGCAAAGTAATCTCGCATACAGTGGACAAAAATAACCAGAGCTTGCACAAATGGAATACTGTCCTTTTGGAACACTGCCCCGGCATGGCCTATCGCTAATAACAAAGCTGTCAACGCACCAAAAACATTTTTATTTGCTTCCTTTGGATTGGTTCTCAGAACCTGGTGCATTTTTCTGAATAATTTTAATGGGGCAAAATGCCATCCTGATTAAGACCCTCCAAGTTTCTGAAAGAGAAAGAAGCTGTCCTGAATTAATCTGAGTAAGATGGGTCATAGGACAGGACTGCAAAATGGTCTTTGGGACAAAAACAATGCATGAAAGAACAATTGCCTTCTAAGGCTGCTGAATTAGATTCAAAGCCAATTCTCAGAGGAATTTCTAACTAATCAACAATGATATGGGGGGGGGGTGGTGACACTTGAAAGATTACATAGCACTCCCAAGTACAAATTCTGATTCATGAATAAGCATTTTCTAAATGCTTACTATGG